TCGTGGTTGAAGCGTTTCTTATGTAGAGCCGGAAAATAAACCACAAGCTTGAACACTATTTTTACTGACCTTTATCTGTGTAGCCTTCCTGTATTGAGCTTGGCAAGGACTAAAATAATTTCACAGCATTATTTTTCCAACTAATTGTTTTTTTGCTTTAGTTACACTCCAAATAACAGCTGACATTTCAGACTTTTGCTGTAATCAAATTTGTAAACTTGTATTTAAGTTGGTAGATAAGCTACATGTGTGCAGAAAGCACTGAAATAGATTCCTTTGTGATACTAAAGTATTAATAGTTACTGATGTTCAATCTTTGTGCAAAAGAAAGAAATGTATGTGCATTTTTCCACATGCATTATGTTAATGTTGTGTCAAAGAGTTACACATTTATAATATTTGATAGATAGCTGTGTATTTTTGTAGTTCTGTGCACAAGTTTGGATTGAACCCTCTGATTTAATCTAAAATAATACTCTGTGTTATTTTGTTAGGCCAACATGAAAGACAAATAATTATCTTCAAAAAACTTGTTGGAGAATTAAAATTGTAAGAAATGGAAATCAGATCTCTCAGCTACATCTGTGTGAGGTACTATGGGAACGTGTGATTTCAGGCTGTAGATCACGGATTTCTAAAAGGTTTCGTTAGAAGATGTAGGAGGTTACCCCGTAACTCTACAGACGTGAGGTGGGCTCGTCCAGGATTTGAACCCGGGACCTCTCGCACCCTAAGCAAGAATCATACCCCTAGACCAACGAGCCACATGAACAGCTTCACCAACTTCTTTTCTGAAAGTCACACATCAGAGCACGTAGCTGAAGCTGAATATATGAAACATTGTCTTGAAAGCTGCCAGTCAAAAGTCTGGAAACACATCGCCGTGGTTTTTCCACATTGTGGACACAAACAGTTTCAGGACATCAGCTCAGAGCAACGGTCATTTTAAAGAACTTGCCTCATTCAACCAGACAAGCACTTTGTCCATGCTTTAGTGCTTTCTAGCTAAGATATGCTAACATTCATCCTTTGCATCAGAGAGCAACTTGGGGTGTTAATCTGCCAACTCAGGAGGTAAAGCAGATCATTTCCCAGTTGGAAAATTGATGGGATCATTTCCTGGATGCTCCAGTCTGCATATCCATGGACAAGTCATCTTTTCATTTCCAGTCAATTTTATTCATATAGCAACCAATCACAATAACAACCACCTTTATATTGTAAGGTAGACCCTACAGAGAAAAACCGAACAATCATACGATCATCTGACCAGACCATATTTCACTGGCTTTGCTAAATGTTGTTCAGCAAACTTGCTCTTCATACCTGCTGATTCCAGATTTTGAGTTGATGTGAGTGATAAAACATTAATTGAATTACAATATTATACAAAGAATAGAAGTAAATACAAAATGCAGTTTCTAAATAAATGTGTTTATTATTAAGGGGAAAAACCCAAACCTAGATGAACATGTCAGAAAAAGCTATTGCCCCCTGAATTTAATAAATAACTGCAACCAAGCATTTGTAACAACCTGCAATAAATCTTTAACAGCACTGTGGAAGATTTTCAGCCCACTCACTGTTGCAGAATTGTTGTAATTTAGCCACATTGCTGGGTTTTCAAGCATGAACCACCTTTTTAAGGTCATGTCACAGCATATAAATCAGATTCAGGTAAGAACTTTGACTTATTTGGGTGTTTTGCATAATTTTCCTGCTGCAGAAACCAAGTGCGCTTCAGCTTCAGGTCAGGTGAGAACGGATGGCCAGATAGTCTCCTCAAGTTTTTTTTTAAGAGGGCCGAATTAATGGTTCAGTTTAGGACAGCAAGTCTTCCAGGTCCTGAGGCAGCAAAACAGCCTCAGACTATCAGACTATCACCACCATATTTTACTGTTGGTATGAGCTTCCTTTTCTGAAATGCAGTGTGTAATGACACACACTCATCAGTCCAGGGTTTTTTCCCCCAAAAGTCTTGGAACTCTGCCATGCAGGCTGGTGTGCTCCAGTCCCTTTCTTAAAGTGTAGTCATGAGAAAGGGACTTTGATTTTAACTTGAACTAAAAGCTGATCCTAAACTAAGCACAGATCAAACTGATTGATCAGCCATCAGAGGAGTCGGATCAATGGAGCTGCTTCTGTTCCTGATGTCCCCTGTTTGATCCTGGACCTGAACTCTCCCTGCAGAGGAGACACAAGACAGTCAGAGAGACACACAACAAGAGACAAACTTATATTTTCATACTGACCTTTGACCTTTAGCAGCACTGTGGTCTCTCTTGAAATGCTTCTTTCTTTGCTGCTGACATTACAGATGTATTCTCCACTGTCTCTCTCTGTGGGCTGTTTCAGGGTCAGACTGAGGTCTCCAGTTTTCAGCAGGTCTTCATTCATCTTTGTTCGGTCTCTGTAAACCTGGTGCTGTTCTTCAGGCTGGTCAGAGCCGTTCTTATACATGTGAACCAACACTGATGGTACAGGGTCAATGCATCTCCACACAACTTTAGCATCCTCAGGAAGGTTCATAGAAGTTATAAAAGGCAGCTGGACAGACTCCGCCCCCTCCCCCACCTCCAGCAGACAGTCTGAGAGGACAACAAACACAACATGAGCTGTACAGACAGCAGTGAATCTAGAAAACACCTTATTAAGCTTCTTTATAGATGTTGCAGTCTGATATTTACATTTAATTATTGTTATTGTCATTTTTTAAACAAATACACTGTAAGAAATATTTCATAGGTATTTGCACTGACTCATCACTCTCAGCAGAACTGTTTTCTTTCTCTTGATCCCTTTCCCCTCAACTCTGCAGATGTACTTTCCACTGTCTCTGTCTGTGGGGAGTTTCAGGGTCAGACTGAGGTCTCCAGTTTTCAGTGAGTCGTCTCTCATTTCGTTTCGCTCTCTGTAAAACTGGTCTCGTGCATCAGGCTGGTCAGAGCCGGCATGATATTTGTGAACAGTCATCGGTGGTTCAGGTTCATAGCGCCACCACTCCACTTCAGCATCTCCAGGCAGGTTTTCTGTGGTTGTGAAGGGCAGCTGGACAGACTCCGCCCCCTCCTCCACCTCCACCTGACAGACTGAGAGGACAACGAACACAACATGACACAGCAGCAGTTTTATTCAATGATTCCAAATAGAGCTTTAATATTCAATTTTAGGCTCAAACTATGATGTTTAATTAATGTTTAATTAACTAATTTAATTAACTAATTTAATTCAGGATTAATCAATCAATCAAAGCTTTATTCGCCACATGCAGGTTGCCCTGCAGTGAAATCCCCCCCCCCCGACCTTACACACACAACACAGACATCACATGAGGATACAAGTCAGAGATTGGTAGCGTTACAGAAAAACACTGAAATATACACTACAATGGGAAAGTACAAGAGGAAAAAAAGAGACCTCTACTCATGCTGTGCTTCCATGGTAGGACAGCACGAGAACAGGAGACAAAAAAACTCCTCTGCACAAAAAGCACATAAATGTCCACAGCACAACTTTGTGAAAGACATGACAACCCACAGGATTGGGTTGTCATGTCGCCCGAGTGTCCCCTCTCCTCACTGAGGAGTGAGGAGAAAAGGGAGAAAAGAGGGAGAAAAGAGGAGAAAAAGTGCGACCGCCTTCGCTGAGAGCAAGACAAGTACAATAATAATTCAATAATGTATTTTATTGGTTGTTCTTCATTTCTTTTGAATTGTTGCCTTCAGTCCACTTTAGTAGGATTTGAGTGGGACTGCTCACAAAGAAAGAATGAGTCTCTAATTTTTTATGGTAGTTTGATTTTAATAAAGGGAGACAAATTATCACCTCACCTCTGTCGGTGCGCCCCAGGGTGGCTGTGGCTACACTGTAGCTGCCGTCACCAGTGTGTGACTGTGTGGGTCCTTAGGGACTAGTAAAAGCGCTATATAAATACAGGCCATTTACCATTTATTAACAAAAAATCCAAAAAAGAAAGATTACATAAAAAGGGTAAATTCATCTGTATATCATTGAGTGAAACACATATTTGGACCCTTAAACTTACCCAAAGCTACAATCTGTGTGTTCATGTAACACACAGATTGCAATCAATCAAATCAATGAAGTACAGATACTCCTGATCTCAACTCATTTTGTGTATAAATCTATTGTATTGTATCAGTACAATCTATTTTGGTAACTAGTTACAAGAAAGTGGAGCATATAATGACAAGATGACACTTTATTGGATCTTACACCAGTTTACCCAGAGCACTTCGCTCTCGCTCTGCAGGCCTACTTGTTGTTCCTAGAGTATTTAAAAGTAGAATGGGAGGCAGAGCCTTCAGTTTTCAGGCCCCTCTTCTGTGGAACCAGCTTCCAGTTTGGATTCGGGAGACAGACACTATCTCTACTTTAAGATTAGGCTTCAAACTTTCCTTTTTGCTAAAGCATATAGTTAGGGCTGGACCAGGTGACCCTGAATCCTCCCTTAGTTATGCTGCAATAGTGTAGGCTGCCGGGGGATTCCCATGATGCATTGAGTTTTTCCTTCCAGTCCTCACTACTGAAGAAGCTTCTCGTGAGAGGTGAAACATCTTCAAGCAACTTAAAGAAGTCCAGAGCTTTTCCTTTCCACACTCCTTAGACTACGACGACCTGGATCACTGAAAAGCTTCACAGACAAGATCCAAACTAAAACTCACATTTGATAAATGTTATCATTAATTCCACTTTTAAAAAGAAGCTCTGTAACTTTGCTCTGCTTCACTTCAGCAGCATCAGGTAATGTTCATATGTCGATTCATGGTTTTCTACAGTTTTTGATCTACTGCAGAATATTTTTAAGGTTATCTGCTATAAAAGGCCAGACCAGGAAAATCTCCTTCATGTTTTTCTGTGTTTTATTCTCAGTTACTTTGACACAAAGGCATCTGCTGTGATGCTCACAATTGTAATGAAGTCTCACATGTATCAGTGCTGATAAATGATCAGAATTATAATATTTCTGACTGTCTGAGGCAAAATTGAATCAAAACGGGACCTCGTGAATTGGAATCAAAGGGATTATAGAAATCAGTGATGATACCCAGCCCTAGTGAGCAGCCTGGGCCTGACAGAGTGGATGTAGGTGTGGGTAATAAGGAAAGATGAAAAGAACTATTGATAACTTTTTGTTAAGTTAAAGTCTGATCCGTCTGAAATTCATAGCCAGCTCTGACACGGAGCCATCGATCTCTGAACGCTGTAAAAGCAGCAGTGTATCCAGGAAACACATTATAAATGCACTGCCCGAGTGTCCCCTCTCCTCACTGCCTTTCAGCAGCATGCAACAGCAAACAGGTCGTCAGAGGAGCCGAGATGATGATTGTGTTGATTGTGATGATGTGTTAATACACCTCTCTGAATGTTATAATTAGTCATTAATAACCTCTGCCTCTCTACCACAGCATGTCTGTTTATCAGCCATCGTTTTGTTGGAATGGGTCAGAAATGGCCGCCCCAGTCCTGGTTCTGACGGAGGTTTCTTCATGTTAAAACAAAGTTTTTCCTCCCACTATCACCAAAGCACTTACCCATAGTGGGCTCATATGATTGTTGGGTTTTTCTCTGTTTTCTCTGTATTATTGAAGGAACTACCTTATAATATAAAGTGCCTTGACGCAATCGTTGTTGTGATTTGGTGCTGTATAAATAACTGACTTAAATTCATTTCTGACCTCTGACTTTCAGCTTCACTTCTCTCTTCAGCAGGATGTTTCCCTCGCTGGTGTAGGCGGTGCAGGTGTAGACTTCGTTGTCTCTGTCTGTGGGGTATCTCAGGGTCAGACTGAGGTCTCCAGTTCTCAGCAGGTCTTCATTCATCTTCGTTCGGTCTCTGTAAAAGTGGTCTTGTTCTTCAGGCTGGTCAGAGCCGTTCTCATTCACGTGGACCTTTGTGGTCCGGATGTAAATGCAGGTCCACTCCACTTTACTGTCTTTAAGCAGGTGAAGTTTGGTTTTGCAGGGCAGCTGTACAGACTCGACCCCCTGCTCCACCTCCACCAGGGGGACTGAAAGGAGAAAAAATACCACAATGAGCTGAACACAGCATCATCAGCACTGAGAACATTTTGTTTGGATGAAGTGAAACATCTGCACTGAAAACATGTTTGACTGGCTGCAGCCTGGGATTTGTCCTGTTGCTCCACTGAGCAGACACAGTGTTATCTTTGGTGTCCTAAATCAATTATGGGAAGAAATTTATCATCGGTGCCATCTGTCTTTATCTTCACTTCCTACACCCAAACTGGAAATGTTAATAGACCGTCATGTGAGCTTGCCTACTTAATATTTCCTTTGAATTTTCTATCTACATGTAGATTATTATGAACTTATGTTAAATAAGCTATTATTCTGGGCTATGCAGGCCCAGACAAAGCGTGCAGCATTTTAATGAGGTTGTTTAATGTGGAATAGAAGAAATAGAAGAAGCTCGTGTGAGTTTCCTTAAGAAAACATCTGATCCTCAAAATCCTGGTGCTTTCAGGCTGACATTGACTCAAAAACATTATCATTATAATATTTTCATTCTAAATCATTTTATAAATTTCTCTTAAACTCCTCAATTTCTCGGACTTGTGTCACATCTTTAGTTTGAGCTGATAAAAAAGTAATGGTTGAGAAACCTAACTTAATAGATCTTACTGTAGCTCACTCATCAAGTCCTGTTCACCTCAGGGACAGATTATCAGTGTGGTCACCAAGCTCTTTAATTCCTGACTCACATCTTCATCTTTTGTCTTCAGCACTCACCTCTGACATAGAGCTTCACTTGTTTCTTCTTCAGGATGTTTTCCCCCCTGTAGACGGTGCAGGTGTAGGTGAGTGCGTCTCTGTTTGTCGGGTATTTCAGAGTCAGGCTGAGGTCCACATCTATCTGCAGGTTTTTCCTCATCATTGTTCGATTTCTGTAAAACCAGTGCTGTTTTTCAAGGTGGTCAGAGCCGTTTTTAAACACGTGCACTATCCTGTTGGAGCTGTCAGTCCACTCTACAGTTACATCTTCACGTCGGTAAACTGTGGTTATAAAGGGCAGCTGAACAGACTCCACCCCCGAATCCACATCCACCTGTGGGACTGTGAAGTAAGAACAACAAATAATGATTTGTGCGCGCAGTCTGTCAAAGCTCTCATGTTTGACATGTAAAGTGTGTGAGGGGAGCAAAGAGTAATTCAATTAGGATTCTAGACAAATAGCTGCCGTTTGTCCTCAGGAAGGCATGAAACATGGGGAAACACTGGTTTGTGTTTTATTGAAAGAAAGGAGACAATTAAAACCACCTATTAACATAACTAATAGATTAAGAAGAAGAAAAAACACTACAAGTCAAGTAAAACAAATCTGAGGTTTAGGGATGATTCAGATTATTCACAATGCAAACACGTCACACACACAACATACCTTTCTTAAAATAGCTTCTGAAGTAAACTCCAACACCCACGATGACAGCTGCAACTACAGCCAGGACACCCAGAGCCACTGGGACACTGATGGGAACTTATAACACAATGAAAACATGAACATTACATGATGTTAACATAAAATGATTAACACTCTGTGACACTCCATGTGATTTTGAATCTCTTTGCACTGACCTCCAC